CACAGAGAGAGACAAACACACACACACACACACGCACACATGCATACACACGCATGCACACACACACGCACACACGGGCGCGCACACACACATGCACACACATGCACACATGCACACACGCACACACACGGGCACACGTGCACACACATGCACACATGAACACACACGTGCACACACGCGCACACACACATATGCATGCACACACATGCACGCACACACAGTCTCCTCCTGTCATTCTTTCTCTCCCTTGATCTCTTTGCTTTCTCTTTACATATTTGTTGCTTCTAATCCCCATCCCATCAATGTCTATCCAGGTTTATAAAGGCACAATTCGAATTTCTTAACATGTATAAATATAACAGCAGGGGAGATATCTTTAAGGGAAAAATAAGAATGTGACAATTATTTCATTAGTGGGCAACTATAAACTTATAAACAAGGGCAGCCTAATTCAGATTCTGTAACTTTTAGTGGACAGTTAAATACAACATAAATAGTTAAATACATCCCTAGTCATGGGCTGAAAGGGGAGAGGGTTCTAAGAGACAAAAAGAAGTCTGAGAGATTTATATGCACCTCCTGACACTGGAACAGATGACTTATAGGTTGGCCTATCTTAGAGCAAGGAACTCAAATGGATGAACCCATAACTCTGCAGAGAGGAGAAAAATGAAGGCAAAAGAAACAACATTATGAAAGCAGGGCAAGTGTCCAGGGAAGAGAAGCAGAAAAAACCGTAATTGTATGGGGAAGATGAGAGAAGCTGACGTATGAAAAGAGATGTCTTGCTGGGGATTTGCAATTACACAGGTGAAAGAGAGGGACCAAGGAAATGGTCCTCTAATAATCGGGACGAGAAAGCTGGTACACAGGGCTGTGCAAAGACGGATGCCTGTAATGTGCCCTTCCCTCTTCCTGCTTTTGAAAGCAAACAGCCACTGCTGTTGGTGAGCCAGACAGACTACCATTTGAGTTGGTCTCACCAAATACATAATAGGCAAATAAGTAAATGGGTATAATTTCTTCTGAGATACAGTGCAAAGTGCAGTTCCAAAGTTCTTAGTAATTCGTGGATATGATTACACAATTCTTAGGCTCCATCTTTTATCTGTTCTGCAGGCACAAATTCTGTGTCCCTGTTCATAACAGTGTGTGTTAGTGTTAACATTAATGTAGCATATAATAGTGTTTGCAGTTATCCACTGTATATTAAAGTAAAAAACTAACAGCAGGGAAATTAGAACCTTGTTAACTAGAATGGATCTAATCACTTCAATTATCGTAGAAATATTTAAAAGCTTCGAAACATGCCACACCAAATCAAAGAAATATAAATATAGTCAAGGTGTCTAGGAACATTTAAGGAATACATTTGCCACACTGATAACTAGGTATTAAGGAAATTAATGCCCTTCACCTAAGCATGTCTTCGGAAACTGACAAATGCAACAAGCCAGTAGTCACCAAGGAACAGCCCCTTTCAAACAGTGTGTTTACTGACTCACAAGTAAAGAAGGAATGTGCCAGAGCCTCACACAAAATGAGGAAGTAAAATTACTCTTTATGCTATTTGTTTTCTCTTTTCCTTTGCTCCATCCTTTTCCTGAAACCTCGATTTACCAGACATGAGATTTCTATTAATTTTCCACAACCGGTGTTTTAAGCTGTGATTCATGTCCAGTGTTTTAGGTCATTTGCTCGAGAGACCTTTTATTAAATTTTACTTATTTATTGAATCTATTTTCTGCGGCACTGGGTTGGAGGAGGATCTTGCATACTGTTGCACCGCTAAGCTCTCCAGAATTTTACTCTAACTCGGGCTGTGTGTAAAGTCTGGAAGCCTGTTCCATTTCTCAGCATATGATTTCTGTGCTGGACCTGAACTATTAATTACCTTCGGGACCTTTTCTTTTGCACTCTGGCATCACTTTTTTGCTGTATTCATTAAAAACAACTTTTGATCTTCCTTTCACCATGCTTTCCTCAAATGCTGGGGAATTCTTGGCTGTTCTGGCCCATTTCAGCATTTACAGCAGCACCTTCCACCCCCACCTTAGGGTTGCTTGACGCATAATCTAGAAAATGGAGGAAAAACAATGGAGTAAGTAGGAAGCCTGGCTGGAGTCTCCTCTTTCTACCTTCTGTATGTTATAGTGTTTTGGGTTTCCTTAGCTTTTAAAATAAGCAGATGAAGAATGGGTTTCATATGGCACACACTCCTAGTTTTTGATGGGCCTCCTCCTGCTTCCCTGGCTTTTCCTCCTGCCCCTACCCCAGCTTCATTTTCCTCTCCTTCAGCTTCATCAGCTTCGGCCTTTGTGACACAGTCTGTGACCCTCCTCCTTCTCCCCGCCCACGCCCAGACACATCTCTTTTTCATTATCATGGTATCCTTTCTAGTTTCCTGCTTCTCTCTCTCTCTCTCTCTCTCTCTCTCCTCTCTCTCTCTCTCTCTCTCTCTCTCTCTCTCTCTCTCTCTCTCACACACACACACACACACACAGACAAACGCACACACACAGCACAGACACACACATGACAGATACATACACAGACATAGATATATACACACACACTCTTAAAATGTACGTTTATCTTTCTCATCTTGGCTTACGTAAGTAAAGATAACAATCACCTGCTTAGTCCACTTTCTTGAACATGTTGAACATGTCCCTTGCAGTTGAACAAACCTCCATTGTTTATATGTGCCATGGGCTGTTTGGTTCCTAATTTAAGGCTTTTGTCATGAAGGTATATTGGGCTATGTCAGACGCTTTTTCCTTATCTACTGAGATGATCATGTCTCTGTCCTTAGTTCTATTTATATTACATTTATTATTAAGCATATGTTGAACCAAGCATACTGTGCTGGACCTGCTAGGATGAGATGTACCCTTCCTCAAATTTCAGTCAATTCATACTCATTTTTACAAGTGAAGAAATGTCCAAGCAAATATCTTAATGTTTTGATGTCTCATTCTTTCTTGGGTCCCACCAAGGACTACTGAATTTGGGTAAATTATTCTTTTGTAACATAGTGGGCACTGGAATCGAGCTCCACTGTGATTTAGGAATGATGATTATATTCTGGCTGCTGCAGAGACAAGCTGCCACAGACCAGGGAGATTAAAACAACAGATGCTTATTACTATACCACTCTGAAGATCAGGAGTCTGAGCATTGGTGTCCTGTGTCTAACACTAAGGTATGAGTAGGGCTGTGACCCTCATAGAGAATCGTGGGAAGAATATTTTCCTTGCTTTCTTTAGCTTCCTGTATTGAAGTAGACTTCACACATTAGTGATACCAGTCTCTGTCATATTGTCATAGTTCCTTATCTGAGTACTGCCTTCCTCTTGCTTCATGGACCTGTGCGACTATACTAGGCTACTTAATATTCCCACCCCCATGATCTGAATATGATCACATCTTATGCCACATCAGAGCAACATATTCATTCACAAGTTCTAGTCATTAAGGCATGGACATGTCCAGGAATTGTTAATCTGCCTAACACAATGACATGGCAGATTCAATCTTTGGCTTATAAAATGATAATAGATCTATCGATACTTTAATATGCTGCCACATAGTAAAATTCATCTTTAAAACATTTGTGGTCACATCTGCATAGTCGTGCATCAACTCTTTAGTCAAATCTCATACTTAGTTTCTGCTTCTCACAACCCTGGACATATGACCTCTTTTGTTGCATGGTGATGGCAAAGTTATTCCTCATTACCACTCACTGTTCCTTTTGCTAGAACCCTCTTCCTATGTGTACATAAGACATTATAGCTACACAGGTGTGACCAGGTGGGGAATACATTGGAAAGGTTCACATGAGTAAGAGGGAATTAAAACTCTTCAGCTTTACTTCCAAATTAAGTCTCATGATCTTTACAAGTTCCTTATATCATGTCCGTTTTTTCTCTCTGTTCTGAGGTTCCATTAGAATAGCCAAATTGTGGGATCACGTAGAATAAGTACAACTCATTTTCACTTGCATCAACTCTTTTATCATCCCTTAGAATCCTGGACCAGGCCCTCCATTGTAAACGTAACTAATAAGAATGAACTTGCTTGGAACAGAGATCCAATGCTTTCCTATTTATTTTACCTCTGACCTTATATAAAAAAATCCCCCTCTCATTTAAGTAGCTATTAATTTGGGATTCACAAATGTAATCCCACCTCAAGCATCATAGAAAAAAACAGCTCCAAACCTGCAGCCATAGAGCTAAGAGGAGGTGCCATTGCATCCTTCAAAGAATCAGAACAAGAAAACACATTTGCAATGATAACCAAAGATCTTTATTACTGTCTTTAATTTCATACAATCACATTGGAAAAATAGTTGTGTCTACAAATGTACTTTGAGCAAAGAAAGCCAACAAGACAAAATAGTATTGAGAGTGACTGTGGACAAAGTATTTATCACTGGAAATCAAGTGTGCCATTCAGCTTCTAATTTATACATCCATGAGACGAGCAGAAAGGGGAAGCAGGCTCCAGTCCTGAAGCCAGGATTTTCTTAACTGAAGCGGACCTGAAGAAGCTTTTAGAGACTGCAAATCCCGGTTGGAGAGCCTAATCCATGAGAGATGGAGTCACTATCACTGTAGAAATACAATTCTGAAAATCATTTTTACAAGTATCCTTTTTGTTATTCCCCTTAGATGTTTTGCTTTATTTCACACAGCGGCCTCTCTGCTTAACATTCAGACTTACTCACACTGATTATCTGTTCTGCGCTTTTGAATTGTTAAGGACATGCTATAAATAAACACATCAATTTTCGTCTATTGCTACCCTTGTGGAAAGCTTCAAATAATTGCAATTAATCTAGAGTCTGCTTATCATTAAATATATTTTTTCTTAGAAAGAATATATAGCATATGAAATTACAAGCCTTTTCTGAGCTAAGGATGAATTTTAGAGTGCTCAAATAATATTTACAATGTAAACATCACAGTTGTTACATAAAGGAAGCCACAATATTCACAACACACTTTATTTGGTTTTGCTATGGAAGCTGTTTTCTTGAATTAGATATGTAGAACTCATAATGTAACCACTCGGTTGTTTTCCTTCAAGGATTCTGAAAAGAAAAGGAATTAGTGGTTTAAACAGAAAGAATTTAAAAATATATGTCATGTTGGTTTCATTAATTCATTTAGTTAACCTCCTTGTCTCTTTTTACCCCGTAAACCTCCATGACTCCTTTTGCCCCTCGTCAACAGTCTCTGCTGAGATTGTGCCTGACAGAGTCAAGAAAGAACTTTCCAGAACACTGACTGTCACAAAGGGATTGGAGGGTGAAGATGCTCTCTACAGAGTAGTCATTAATAGTGAAGAATTTGTAATTTTCACAAATGGACTGCCCGCAGGAGGGCCTGCAATACTTGGTCAAAGTTTCTTTCCACAATAACAATGGGCTCTCATGAATGACCTTACACTATAAATGGGTGTCTGCCACGTTCTTTATCTGACAGAGAAATATTCACCATATAAGACAATATTTCTTTTGGTGTTGGTCCTAGAATCCAAGCCTTTTGTGCAGGCCAGGAAACTGCTCTACCACTAAGTGAGCCCCCGGCCCCAACCTAGCTTTTGCCTTTGTGCCAAGGATAGGTCTATATATATAATATCATTGTTATGGCCAGCTCCTAACCCCACGCTCCCTTCAGAGATAAAAGAATAACTAATCTAATTGGTGGAACAAAGTACCCAGGCAAGTGACTTCTGAAGACTCGTTTGCTCCTCATAGCCCTCTTAAAGTCTTAGATGACCACACCAGAAATTAAGGTGAGGCTATGTTCCCTTTAGCACAAGACAGGGCTAGCTGTTTTCCTATACTTAGCCAAGGCTGGATTCCTCTTCCCTTTAGGTTCTACAAACCAAGTTCTACTGGGGCCATCCACTTCCCCTCCATGTTATAATTTTTCTTGGTTACTTCCATGTTAAGTCGTTGTAACAGAAACCAGACAGCCCATGGAACTGTGTCTGTCTCTCTAGAGCCCGTTCGAGAAAAGTGTGCTGACTTTTGACATGGTGATAGAACGTACCTTCATCACTTGCCAAACATGGTGAGCAGGTTGAGGTGAAACAACTAAATTATTAATGCTCACATAGCTCATAAGAGAATACATGTGTACCCACATTTACATAAAAGTAATTGTGAAAAATGGGCCCATACCTCATTGCAAAAGAAAAAAAAGTAGCTCATTTCTTCTATTTAAAAATATTCTGCAATGATTGCTGCTGGGGTTACAATGGCTCTACTCACTTCACGGATCAAACTTTGACCTTCATTCCAGGAAGGCTGCTATGCTCAAAGTACCATAATTAATCATAGAGTACCTCGACATTTCCATACTGTGTTTTGTGATATTTCTCCACACTTAACTGAAGAACTTACAGGCAATCTTGGGCCTAAATCTTAAATGAGAAAAAGCATGACATGAGTCTGCACACTAAGACATTTTCCCTCATGAGTGTGAGTCAGGATCCTGTATGCTTTCATATCAACACACACATGGGAGAAAGATGAATAGACAAGAAGTACCTTGCAGAGGCCAACCTCATTATAGTGACCAGTGTTGTTGTCACAATGAGAATAGTGCATATGTTGCCTCAAGGTGTTCACTGGGTGGAATCTGCCTCAGGTAGAGGTGTTATGTGGACTGGATAATATCTCCAGGTAGAAGGACTTTTAGCCCTAGGATGGTTTTGCCTACTGACTCCTTCCTGCATCTATTCTTCAAGGTAGCTGTGAGCATACAGTAAGAATCCATAGGCACACTCACCTCTGACTTTCAGTTCTGCTCAGAGGAGCCTAGTCATCATATTTCTAGCTCTTCAGGGAAGTCCGGAGAGTCTCCCTCACTGCTACAGACCAGAAGGAAAAAGCATGTGTTAGAATTCTCCTCTGAGGAAGGTTCCAAAGAAACAATTTATAACACCATGCCTAGGTAATTATCTAGGCTCTGCAAGACTCACTGGGGATAAACAGTGATCTTTGCAGCTACTGATTGCCTATGAATTGTTCCAAAACCTTACTGTCTCAAATCATCCTTATGGAATTATCATTTATTGCACAAAGAGGATACTCTTGTCTGAATTCACCTGAACAGAATTATGCTCAATACTCTCCAGGCACACAAAAACAACTGGAATAAGAAGAGAGAAAATACTCTATCCCCTATTACTGTGTCCGATATTTACACAGTGTAAGGAACTGACACACGCAGATACATCATGGTTAAATATGATGAAGCAGGATTGTTGGACACAGATATGATAGGGTTCTCCTGCTTGCCAGAATTGCTCATTGTACTTTCCATGTTTTAAAAGTGAACCCTTGATTGAATGGCCCCCTGATGATACAATAGCCATCATTTTCAACCGCATTGACCTGTACATTCAAATGGAGTAAGCTTTAAAAAAAGGAGTGTCCAGGTCAGTATTCCCAGGGAGAATGTTTGGGCTAACATCCATTTGCCCGTATTTTAAAGGTTTGCAAGGGAAGTCTGACATCAGTCCGAGTCGAGAATGAGTGGCCAGTTCACACAAAGCAGACAGTGTGACGGAGAAAGGGAGATGTCTTCAAGTAGAGCTTTAACATTTGAAGGTCATTTACACATTTTCACTTTATGGAGTTATCCTTTTCCTTACCTCCTCTTTCCATTCAGAATGGAGTTCAAATATTTCTTTACAGCCATTTGCTTCCTAAGGCGGGTGTAGTTATCTGTGAAGACTGCATCCGAGTGTCGTTTGATTGGCACAGGGTCTTCTGAGATGTTACTGCTGGAAAAAAAAAGTGAGAACAAAATGAAAATAAAGATGTCAGTAAGAATTAGAAGATGCATTTATTGCTCTGTATATTTTCCTACTGAGTTTAGCTCAGTTTGACTCGTTTGGAAATATGCTACTTAAGGAAAATATGTTTAGAGTCAATAAATACCAAAAACTCTATTTCACTTGGGGGGGTGGTGTGTTTTATTTAATAACATACATTATTTTCTCTAAATAAATTGAACATTATCAAAGCGTTTCAGCCTTGGGCAAGGAAAATAACATTCAAGAAAGAAAAATAGAATTTGAAGATGGAGCGTTTATTAAAAAACTAGTCAGTACTCTTTACCTGATTCGTTTTCCAATGAGTGACTCAAGGTATTTTTTGGCAGAAATCTGACCCAGAAGTCTACTGTAGTCACTAGTGAAAACTCCATCAGCATGCCTGGCATTTCTAAAGCAAAGAAGCAAACACAATGGTTGCTTAGTCAAGCCTCCTGCAGAGTTATCAAAGAAATCTGAAAGCTACTTACAGTACTGCTCACTAAAACTTAAGTCAAAAATGAAGTCTAGCACCACAGCAAAAGGAAATCCCTAGTCACTTGGAGGAAGATATAAACTATAAGCTTCTAGCCTACCTTGAAAAAATGAGCTAGTTTAGATATATGCTTCATTTTTATTCCCAGATAGGATATTTTAAATGGATTTTCTTAATAAATTTTGTTTTAAACTCACTTATAGTTTCTATATTTTTATAGAGTATTTTTAATGCTACCTTAAATATACATGCAATGAAAAAAATGTTAATTTCATCAAACTCACCAGTATTCTGTGTTCTAATTATTCTTTGCCACCAAAAATAATGGGGAGCAAATCTCTTGCAATACAGCAGAACTTGGGCCTACTAGTGAATCTTGTAAGCACACAAGGAACCTCTTTTGTACTTTGTCTCCAGTGTGACATCGTTTGGTCTATTCTGAGACAGTACTCTAAAGAAGTTGCATGAGTGGACAGCACTATTGGTCATCTTGACCCCTTGTATCTGTCCCCTTGTGGAAGCCTAGCTGTAGCAGTTTGACCTGGCATTTGTCCAATCTGAACTATTGAATCATTCCTGAAGGCTGTGAGGGAACTTATGTCAATCAGGCTAGGCAGAGTCATGGAAAGCTGTCCCTTGGTAAGCTAAAACTAGACTATTTAATCTTTCCACGTGTGTTTCCTAAATAGATAAATAAGAGTGAACTTACCTGGATACATCGTAATAGGGTGTGTCATTTTCCGCTAGGGCATTCTGCAAGATGTCAGTGTCTGCTTTTAATGAGACTTGATCAGGGTCACTAGCTCCTTCAAACTGCACCCTGTCATCCAACCTATTAAGGTAAAACACACTAGAAATGCAATACCATCCCTTCTGGGTGGTGTTTATGATCTTGCAACTATTTGAGACAGGAGAAAAAAATATTGAGACATTCATTTGCAAGATAAGAATAGGATAATTTGACTCCATAGCTTCCATGTTTAATGAAGATATAAGTAGTAATTTTGTGTGAGCTCACAAAAATGATGTTGTTCAACTTAGATAAGCTTTATAAACCAAACATAATTTCTACTTAATTCAATTCTAGTGAAGCTGTAAGTAGAGCATGTTGCATTGACATGCCTGCCTATGTCCATTTGTGAAATAGCATTGACAGGCAGAGAGCCTTACACAAGATATAAACATACAAAAAGCAAGTATTCAACATGAAAACTGATACTTATTCATATAAATGGTTGCTCAAATTCAGGACCAGAGCAGCGTGCAAGCTGCTTTCCACTCTCTGGCTCCCTGACATGAACCACGAAGCTTTACCTTAGCACAATATAGTTCTCCTTATTGATCAAACCTAAAGATCTCCACAATTGTCAGTGGTTATTACAATATAATGAGTTTAATGAGTCCCTCTAGTCCTCATATTACATGTATTAGCACATTCTAACTAGAAATGCACCAAGCCATACTACAAAACAAGAATTATCTTTGTGATATATACAATATAACCTACTTGTGGATGCCTCTGTATTTTTAATACTAGTACTGCATTAAAAGTGTGTGTGTGTGTGTGTGTGTGTGTGTGTGTGTGTGTGTGTGTGTGTGTGTTGTGTGTGTGTAGGGTAAACCTCTGAAGAGTTTCCATTGTTGGGTACTTTTGTATCTCTGGGTAGTGGTGTAGCAGATAGTAAAAATCAGTCATTCATAGCCTGGTCTTGAGCAGTCAGTGTGAATTTTAGCATCCTGAGACCGCTCATCTGCTGAGATCTGGGCACTGGGACTCTAACTTCCAAAGCATTATGGCGGGTGGCTGGCATGTCTTACAGTTTCTCAGAGAACATTAGTAGCTGAGAGACTATTCACTACACTGAGCATAAGAAAGGGCAAATAACCAAAATGGTGATTTGCCTTTAGATAACAGTGATTCTGGAGATTAGAAAGGTCAAGTATGAATTGACTATTAATGTAAATCTATTTTACTTTAGGTTAAATTGAGTTGTATGCTTTATGAATATGACCTTGAACATATCAAACAGTAAAACTAAGAATTTTTGGTTCAAATAGAGTCAAATGAGGACTGTAGCTTAGTGTGTATACTTCCTTCCTCATAATCTCTAATATTGGGAAGGTTATTTCTCCTAGACCTATTTCTGCCCAACAAAATTTCATGTGTGTATATCTCACTGATGGACTATTAATCTTATAATCATTTTTATTCAATATAAATTAAGTGAAGCTGGCAAGTAAATAGCTATTTTTTCTATCAGAAACACAACTGGCTGAGATTTAAAAGCATAGGAATTTGTTTATTTTCTAACACTAGTTTGGAAATGGGATCCATCTGGCATGCAAAACTGATGTTGTCTCCCATGTACTGAAGATGAATTCGGGAGCTCAGAACAAGCCTTTTGAGTTTGGTTGGAAAAGAATGTGCTGTAATCAAAGTATTGAAGTAAATATATGTAATTTAAAGTGCAGCACTCTCCTAAATGACATATGGGAAATCTCACTTAGATACAAAGGAAATGCCTGCCTATCTGAATTGAGAGTGCACTTTCCCAGAATGAGACTTACCTCACAGCAGAAGGTGGTCCAAAGAGAGGCCAGGCCAGTGACTGAGAGAACAGCACACTGAAGAGCATCAGGAGTGCCAAGAACTGGGGCTTGCTTCTGGCTTCCATCTCGGTGCCTCTGCAAAGAGAGGGCTTTACCAGCCACACTTGGCAGTATTCTGAGGGTCTAGCAATATTCTAAGGGCTCTTTTAGAGTTGAGAAAAAGTCATTTCATATTCAGAAAAGTATCAAGCTTATCGCCATAAGATTACTTTTAAAAATAAAGGTTTCCCTTGGGTTAGGACATTTGAATACAAACTACATTCCCTTTTGTCTTTCCCTCTGCAGGCACTCAGTCGATATTAGTGCCTCTTTGAGATTACACTTCTATTGTGCTGAAGATAACTAACCACAGACCCAGGGTTTTGATAACACAGTTATCAACCTGGTGTCTCTTCTGGTGAAGGAAACAACTTCAAGGAATTTTTTCCCCCTTTAAACTTTAATGTCTGATTACTACAAAACCCAAGTGCTACTCATGGAATGATTTCTAGTAAATTACATTGGCATGTTTGCATGCTCATATGTGCATATATGGATATAAAGTATAGATCTGCATCATTAAGGCCAAAATCTTGTGTACATATTATAGTTAAATTCTTATTTTCCCTGCATTCATTATAGATATCATGGAGAACTTATTTCTTTAAGCCAAGGCTCAAGAGAATGATCTCAAGGCTGAAAGCTAATGCCTTCAGAGCCACTTAGTATTGGTGCAAGTTTCCCCAGAAAACCCCTCTCCCTCTCCCTCTCTCTCTCTCTCTCCCTCTCCCTCTCTCTCCCCCCCCCTCTCTCTCTCTGTGTCTGTCTGTCTGTCTGTCTCTCTCTCTGTGTGTGTGTGTGTCTGTCTGTCTATATCTCTTTCTCTCTCTGTCTCTCTGTCTCTCTCACTGTGTGTGTGTGTATCTGTAGAGCCTATGAATCTTGCATTCCATACATTCACACATTGTATTTCTAACCACTTTCTAGTTAATATATAAGGTGTTCAAGGATTCTGTCTTTTGATAACTACAAAAGCAACAACATTTAAAATGTAAATGATGAAGAAAGTGAGTTCCTTCTAGAGCCAATCAACATGAGAAACAGAAAGAAGAATATTTTAAACATAAGTTGAAAACCTTAAAAAAAAAAAAAAAAAAAAAAGCAACAACTGAATGAACCCTTGGGTCAAAATTCCACACACAAGCAATCTCATCTTCCTTCACTTTTAAAGAGGCGATGTTTAACAAAGGGTTAAGTAGGACCAAAAATCTTCTAAACAGATGGGTTCATAAGAAAGAAATTGAGACATTTCTACCTTTATAGAGTGGCTTATCATAATTATTTTATTTTGCTATTGCAAAAGATGAATACTGTAAAATTCTTTTTAAGAGAGAAAATTTCAAAAAACAAAAAGGAAGGAAGAAAGAAACCCTCCTATAAAATTCTAAAAACAGAAGGGAAATGAAAAAGGGAAGATTTTACTTACCCTTGGTCTGTTCCTTCAGGCAGGACTGTCTTTGGGAGAGTGGGAGCTGTCTAGGGTGCTGAAGTCCTGGCCGGGAGAGAAGGCTCCACCAGCCTGCTCCTGGTCCTGGGGAATGGATGGTTGTTGCCAGCTAGGACTCTGCACTCCAACCTGACCAGCATTTCAAAGTCCCTCATTTTATAGGGCTTGTGCTTAGGGCTGAGCAATCAGAAGGCTGCCCGAAAGACGTCACAGTGGTGATCCCATGGGATGAACAGGTCTTGAAGTTCTTATTAAATTGTCATCATGCCTGATTTATATACATTTATAGCAAACAAGTTCAAGATAGAGGAAATGTGCTTTTTTTTTTTTTTAAGTGCTAAGCTGGATGTGTAATGCTTTAATCTTTACTCAGTTGTCAGGAATTAGAGGGTGACTGTAATGTCATAGCCCAGGGCCTCCAGGGTTCCTTAAAAAAATAAGAACTTTTGGGAAAACAAATGCAGAAAACAAACACTTGAGTTTCTTATGCTTACAGTGTAATTCTTTCTTTTTCACCAAATGTCAATTCCCTTAGTGCCTTTTCATCTTTACGCACACCAGAATTAATGTTTTTTTGAAACATATTTTAATTTTAATGGCAACCACTAATTATTTTTGCATCTTTCTGTTATTACATTTCCTTTATGTTGAAGCTGTTCCTCAGAGAAAGTACCGTTGTTTTGTTAAGATGGTGTCTAAGCAATGGCATTATCACTCCCCCATGCTTTGTAATCTCCACTGCTTTCCTTCACATCTTCTATCAGATGTTCCAAGGATAAATAGTGGTCAGACTGTACACTCCAGGGGTTGGAGTTTTCTTTCTCTTCAAAGATATCCTCCTCATTTTATGTCTTTGCATAATGTTGAATCCCTTTGTTTCCCACATTGTCCTCCGAATTCACCCTACTTCAGGACTTAACGTCTCTGACTCGGTCACATTACATAAAGGTAATTGCAAAAGAACAGCTGGTTTGAAACCTTTGGAGAGCACTGTGATAACTGCTTAATTTCCTTTTCTTGATTTTGCACCCAAAGTAGCCTGACATACATTTAATTGGGACTTAGTATCAAAAGGCAGCTATCCTAAGAGTATCACAGAAAACAAAGACAATGCCCTTTCTTTTAAAAGTTCTGGTGTGTACATTCTGTGACATTCCTTACGTATTTTCCTTGGGGAAATATAGCCCTCAATCTTCTTACTTCTACTCTAAGATTTTAGTATCTCCTTGTAGCACTCAAGGCCGACTGATGCAGTGAGAGTTGTCTTGCTAGGCTTAATCATATTTTCTAATCCAGTTACAAGAAAAATTAAATGAATTAAATTTCAAAATGTCTGGAATTTTGTTTTCCAGTTGACAGCCATGACTTAAGCCAGAGTTCCTGTGGCTTAATTCCAGGAAATCTTTTTTTTTTTTTTTTCTTTTCTTTTCTTTTTTTTTTTTTTAAACCAATTGTTATAAACTAGAGGGTAAAATGGTTTTCATATGGAATTTTTTTTTTTATTTTGAGCTCATTGTTACCAAATCCTCAGTGAAACACTTTCATTTAAAAGCTGTACCGGAAAAATAAATAAGATTAAGGATCACAGAGGAATCGATCCTGAATGATAAGCGGAAAAAATGACATAAAGATTGCTCACCACTTGATCTAAGAAGCATTTATGAAGAGTAACTATGATATATTTCCACAATAATGAAGACAGTTTCTCCCGTCACCACAATAAAACAAGATGAGAAAGAGAATTTAATTGTCTCACCTAGTGAGGAAAGTAGACTAAATCAAAGAATTAGTTTGGGCTGTGAATTTAAACAGGACATAAAATCATTTTAAACAGAATCACAGCACCATCTAGAGTTCAAAGTCTTAACTCACAGAGTTCACAAAAATGCTTTTCCTT